CTCAGAATTCACGTCTCTTGAATGCCATATGCAATGTATTAAGGACACAGATCCCATTGTTCCGTAGACTTTAAATAGGCTTTGTTTCTGGCCCGGGCTAGTGCCCTCCCCACCCTCCCTTGTGTGTGACCATTTGGATTGTGTTTTAAGGATTTGCAGAAATGTTTTACTAAGAGAAACAAAACAAATGGTGGTATAGTTGCTGATTCCTCCATAATACATAAGACAAATTGTGGAGCTCATTTAGTATCACATGATGTGACTGTGCTTTTGTTTATCTTGCTTCCAGATGAGACTGAAGTTTCCTGAAGCAAAAATGGGATTTTAATATGCTGCTGACCCAACTTGATAAATTTTCAATTCTGATTTATGTTAATTGAGATTTTCAGGGGTATTTGTTTGTTTATTTTTGTTTGCTGTGTGCCATTGTGAGGAGGAGTTGTGTGGTTTTAATGCAACGTTTCTGAGGAAAGGACTGTTTTTAAAAATCTCTTTTTGTTTGGTTTTCATGTATTGAGAGAACATTATCAAAAATCTTTGAGGAAGAAATTTTGAAGACATGAACTATTAATTAATAGCAAGTTGTGCAATGTATTTGTGTATTTCATAGAATAATAAATATTTGTATAAAAACTACAGTTTAAAATTTAATATTATTGTGAGAGAATGGTTGATGTTGTTATTCATACACAAAACAGGATGAATGAGAAGCCCAGAAGTGGTTAATCTGTTTTGTGATGCAAAGGAAGGGGAAAGGTAGCCTTGTAGCTTTATCTAAGGGACTGGCTTCTCTATAACTATAAATAAAATAAATATGTAGTAGTGCTTATAGAGGCTTGACAGATTGTATAATTTATGCAAAAAGACCTTTCTTTTATATATATATGTATATATATTGCCCTACATTTTTTTTCATTTAGAGTGTTACTGTAAAATGTGCTCTTAGCATGAAGTATGTCTTTTTTTTAATGAAATATGGAAATATGGAGAAAGTTGCTGGTGAAGACATAGAAATGTCTTGTCTTTCTTGAGTTGTTAGGCAATTCGTTTTTCCCGTTGATGCTCAGGTGAGAACAGTTAGATGAGCTAGCGCTTCTGGGTGGGCCTCTGTTGAGCTTGGATGAAGAGTGGCTGAATTGCACCTCCTTCACTGTGTTTTTAATAACCTCCATGTAATTTTATACTATGATGCTGTATGCTGTGTACACAACTGTTGCGTTAAAGAGGTATTTGTATGACTGTAGTTAATTTAGAGTACAAGGTCACTTTATACACATGCACACACACACACAGAGACATATATATATATGTATGTATAAAATGAGTTTCTCATGGCAATACCCATACATGTTTCCCATACAGAGAGAGATGGATGCAAAGAGATTATTTACTGTGCAAGGACTCTTGTTCTAGGGAGTTTACCAAGAGATTATTTACTGTGCAAGGACTCTGTCCTAGGGAGTTTACCTGACATGTTCCAGCTTCAGTTTCCATATCATTCAACCTCCTTCATCTTACTTGCTTTAGGGGCTATCAAGTCCTTCCTTTTCCTTAAGTGAGGTGTAGCATGCTTTAACATAGCTCTTGTCTTCTGCTCTCCATTCTAGAGCAAAAGAAAGCTTGGTGCCCACAAACTAGAATTGTAAGGAAAAGTATTTAAGATACTCAAAATTGTAAAACCCGACTGTTTGTTTACACAATATTCTATTCTTATTCCCTTACAAGACATTTCATAAATTGGCTGTTGTGCCTATAGATGTTAAACTCTTCAGTTGTTAAATTCATTGATTAGTATTCAAAGCCTGAAGGTTTGCTAAAGGGAAAAATTGGACTAGGAAGAGGAATAAGAGGAAATTCTTTTGAAAGAATTGTATTACGTATTTTGGCTTTGCGATGTGTGAGAACTATTTGTGACAACTGCACTAACAGATACGTGATGACTTTCATTTGGTAATTCTCATTATAAGGCATGTCTCTGTCGTGTTTCATAGCTGGATACTGAGAATTCTTTCCATCTTGGTAGTTAAAATAACTAGCCTTGTACTAATTACTTGAGCTATATTGCAGTCTCCCTGCTCAGATTAGCTATGACCATTGTGATCTGGAGGTGTGTGGAGAAAGTTATTTTTAAGGAGACTTTGTGAAAAAGGCAAATTATAATTTAAAAAAGAAATGAAGATTTATGAGTCAGAAATGGCATTTTTGAAGTTAAGATTCACACTTGTTAGCAGAAATTTGTTCTTTGACTTGTATTAATTTGATATGGAAAACCTATGGCTGGGAGGAATATTTTCTAATTTTGCAAGGAATCTTGTTAATTCTTCTCCAAAACATACCAGAAATGTGCATTTAACACTTTCTGTAAAGCAAGGCAGTTGTAAAATGAGAATTCTGAAGAATATAAAGCCTGGAAATCTGAATGGAATTCTGAAAAAATACCATGTTTGCGTTTTGAAAACTAAAATAATGTTGAAATAAGCAATTGAAATATCTTTAAGACAGCTTCATTGTAATGTTTCAACATCATGGGGATATTTTTGTTGTTTTCTCATTTCTTAATTCCTGTGATCTGTTTTTCTCACTCTTTCTCCCATCTCCCCCACACCTATCTCAAACAAGAGACATTTTAACTGGTTAGCCAAGGTCGGTCAGATCTTACCCGCCCTCGTCTCAGCAATGTGAACTTCAGAAATGTTTCCTGAAAATAATTGTCAGGATAGAAAAACAAGAGCGTGTTGATGCATCGTTCAGGCAAAGCTGAAGCACAGGTTCAATACCCGCTAGATGAGAACTCTCTAAATGCAGCACAGGAGATAATGTTTCATTGCTGTGCAGGTCATAGCTGGTTCCTTTCTAAATATTTTTTATTAAAGTAACTCATTTTACAGAAAGTGTTCACTTTAGCATATCAGATACTGAAAGCATCCCATTAAAAACATGATAGACTTAACCCCAAGCCCCATCCAGCCCCTTGTACTGCTTTTCATAGCAGCTGGAGCTGAGCGTTTGTAAACCAAATCTACCTGGCGTGTGTGCTCTTGTCCCTCCCTATTTCCTGCAGTCGGAAAAACGAAAGATTATCCGTTGATGAATGAGAAAATTTCTGCGTTTATTACATTCCCCTTTTCTAGAATTTTGTCACTCTTTTTGGTCCTCCTTTCATAATTCCCCTTTCCACTTGAACTTTATCAACTCCATCAAACTTGTTGAGTTCCTGATTGTCCAGTTAGTTCTGCTCTGTGACTCAAAAAGCCTGTGCAACAGTTTCAGCTTTCCCAGCTCTTTAAAACGTGGGCTTGGGGAACAAGCTGAACTGTGGCATCGACTTAGGGAGGGGATTCATGACGTGTTCTGATGTGGCGTGGGTAGAAGGAAACGAAAGGTATCGGGGTGGAATGTTATTCCTCAACAGCTCCACGTAAGAGGACACGGGCTGTTTAAGTTTCTAATTCTGAGTACTCTGGTCACAACACTAGACTCCTGGCATATTTTCTATTCTGTAAATATCTGATATACCAGTAACCTCCTGGCCCTTTGCAAGATATTTCTTTCTACTATGTGAGCTTGATTTTGAGATTCTGACCAATGCAAACATGTTACTGACAAAGATTTAATACTATTGCATTAGTTTTTCTGTCAAAACGAGCCTTGCCACTTGAGCTGTAAAGCTGATGGGGGCATTGACGGTTGCCCGGCATCTGTTTTTTCTGTCTTTTCTTCTGAAAATGTTGCAGTTTACTCAGCAAAGATCTGGAATGTGTCTGCAGTAGCATCAGTGAAGTGTTGCAAAGAAAGTTCCTAAGAAAACTATAATCTTGTGTTGTGAGGACATTAGTATCAGCTCGAAGGGCACCTATTAATTTAGTTAGGCCACAAAACATATGCTGCCCACATGAAAGACTGCATGCTGTAGATGTCTAGATATTCATATTAGGAGGTGTCTATTTTGAGCAGGTTGGTCCCAGATATCTTGCAATGAGGCTGAAAAAAAAGCAGTGGGTTTTGCTTTAATTCTTTAGGCTTTGTTTCCTTTCCATGATGCTGCTTCCTTCTAGGATTCGATCTTTGGTTTTCTTTGCTGCAAAGTTTGGGGCTGAGGAGAAGGGAGAAAGTCTACAGGAATACCAGGTTTGGCCTTTTTTGGACCTGACTTGTGGGGTTAGAGAGTGGAAGTGCCTGCAGGTGTGGTGCTTGCTCCTTCTGCCACTTAGCCAAGATTGATTTGGGGTTGCGGGTGGTCAAAGCATAGTCTGGCTTGTCTAATTCAGGGTATGGTTTAGAGACTGGAGTGTGCCTTCCTTAGAGAGTATTAAATGTTAATTCTGACACCAGGTGTCTGTGCGTTTCTTAAGTTATCCCAAAGTGTGTTGGCCTATGGCAAGGGAATGGTGAATTTGAGGGGATCCCCCCAACCCCCCCCAAAAAAAGCAAATGGCAGCTATTTAATGGTCAGATACACTTTTATGAATGTGCTAAAACTCCTATTCAGATGAATTTCATGAATTCAGTGTTTTATAAACAGGACTTTTTTTCTTATACCATAAATAGAAATCACTGCAAAACAGTGGGACTATATTGTCTTGCATAATGCAAAGCATAGTCTTTATGCAAGCTTTTATAGTTCTTTTTTTTTTTTTTTTAAAGACAGTGTCTTTTTCAACTAAAGTGCATGTAATAAAAATCTGATCTTTCCTATAAAACTAGATCAAGTAAATATGTTTCAATCAATGGATTTGTTGTGAAGGGTATGATTGAAGAGTCTCTCTGTATTTAAGAAGTACCTTCTTGAAAAGTCACCTGTAAAGTTAGAATTCTTCCCTGTTATTTTTTTTTTCAAATGACATGGAATAGATATATACTGGATGTGTGGATTAAGCCGTATTTAGAGGACTGCAATCTACCTTGCTTTTTTTTCCCCCTTTTTTTTTTTTTTCCTCCTGTTAATATTATTCTTTTATGGATATATGTTATGACAACTTACCCTTTTTTCCTCTTTATAGGTCCTGCTGGGGACTTGCATCTGGCCTCAATGTGAAATTAAGGTAGAAAAACACATCTACATATGTGTTTGCTATTAGGATTTAGTTTATTCACTGGTCATGCCTGAAGAGTGATGTTCGTCTCTAGACGGCTAACTGCCAGGAAATATAAATGATTGTCCTAGAAGTCAAGCCTCCCTCCTATTTACTGGAGTGAAAATCACCTCCAGATACCGACGGAATATCAACTGCAGAAAATGCTTCACGTTATAAGGATGCCAACCACCTAGATTCATGCGCCCTATCTGTACAGTTGTTGTGGATGGTTTGCCATCTGAAAGCTCCTCAAGCTCTTATCCAGGCCCTGTATCTGTTTCTGAAATGTCTCTGCTACATGCTTTGGGCCCAGTGCAGACCTGGCTGGGACAAGAGCTAGAGAAGTGTGGCATTGATGCCATGATTTATACTCGGTATGTCCTCAGTCTTCTGCTGCATGATAGCTATGACTACGACCTGCAGGAACAGGTATTTACATGTTCTAGATGTTGTCCAGTGAAAATGAGTTCTTGTGTATCACTTACCTTTGTGTATTCTACATGGGGACATCCCGATATTGTGTGTGTGTGTGTGTGTGTGGTGGGAAGGGTGGGTGGTTGTCTTTCATTGTCGGGGTAGAAGGGGAATACGAGCAACTACGAGAGCAAATTCAATTGGTAAACTAAGGTTGATGGAGTCAGTCTGCTGTCGAAACAATCTAGTAAATAAAGCTTTAGCATTGCTTCATTGTGAAATCGGGTTTGTTAACACTGGGGTGCAATGTATCAATGTGATATAGTACTCATGGTTTTAAAATCAATTTAATTTTGAAACACTAATGTAAACTAATCCTTTTAAACTGTGTGTCAAACTGGGATGGTTTACAGTAAGAACATTTTTAGTGTTGTGTGTAGACTGCATCTCATAAGGTAGTTATTAGTATAGTATAGAAAAAAAGAGGAAAACAAAAAATTCATATATGATGGCTTAGTTATGAGGATATTTTTGATTGCTATTGTTATAATGATATTTCGTGTATTGTGACCTAGCTAGATCAGGACTTTTTTTTTTCCTCCCTCTCTCTCTTTTTTGGTAGTTTTTTGTTTGTTTGTTTGTTTTTGTTTTTTTTTGTTTTCAAAAAACCATCAAGAGCAGGGCATGTCATTGTGGAATAGATGTAAACACAGCTGAAGAAAACTGTGTGTGCCAGGTGCTGCAGTTCGTGAACTCTTAGGTACCCTTAATGTATATAAAAGTCTTCATGCTTCCAAAATGCAAAAGTGACTTTTTGCAAAAGTTCAGCTGACAGAAGTTGAAGTGGCCAAGACAATCTCATGACCAACGTTATTAATAATAATAATAAAAAAAAGCAAAGAAAACTTTAAACTCTCTTTAAAATACATCTTAATATCAAATTTATCTTCTTTAGGTCTTCTTTAGACCTAAAGGGTTGTATTTTAGAAGGGGATTAGAAAAAATGTGCTTACTATGGCGGAAGGGCAGAAAAGAGAAACCAAGTGAGGACACACCAGAGTTTGATGAATTTCAGAGATAGCCCTGTGGCCTTGGGCAAGAGTGAAGACTTGTTTCTTCTCAAGCCATTTTGGAGCATAGTTGTAATTAAAGTGACTACTGTGGTCATTTCAAGTGATTGGAGCGCCAAAATGAATTTCCTTATTATCAGGCTTTGCAGGGAGCAGGATATATATTGATATATATATTGATATATATATTTATGTATATCTATATATTTATATTATATATATAATATATATTTATTGATATATATATTTTTATATGTGTGTGTGTGTATATACACACTGAGTTTTTATATATATATATACACACACACATATGTGTGTGTATATATAAACTCGGTTATTTCGTATTTTGATACTGCAACTGGGTACTTTGTGGGTTGATAGAGTTTCAAGGAATGTGTTCTTTTTTTCCAAAATGGTTATCTGAACCTAATGATCCAAAAGAGCACATGTACCTCATGGGGACAGGGCAGCGAAAACCTGTGTTACTGAGTGTAATACAAAGAGACAGGGTGTTGTCTGAATGACATCTAGATTTGCAGAAAGTTTCTCTCTTCCTCTTCTTCCAATGCTTATAAAATACTATTTAATGATTTTTTTTTCCTCTAGAATAACTGAATAATAAATAAATATTCTGGTAATAATATAATGAAATAATTATTCTGAATCATATGAGAGAAGCTGAGCCTCTTCAATTCCCATTGAATAATTAAACCTTAGCACTTCAGAAATTATTTCTCCTGTGTGATTCCTTTGTTACTTGAAAAACGCAACATTTCCTAAAACAACCCAAAAGGAACTACGAATATGAGCAATCCGTTTCAGTGCTTTTGAGGAGGTTGATAGGGGTGAACTATTTGGAATCTTCACCTTAAGGATGGCTGTATAAATCATCCTAGAAAAGTCTTAAGCTGAAGTTAGGATGCTCATTCAGATATTTCTACGTCAGGGTGGTGATGGCATCATTAGCACTGTTTGAATTGCTCTGGGGAGCCTCGTTTCTTGCTTTCCTCATCATCAGCTGTAGTAGGGAAATGGATCTTGGATGTCTAGGGCTGAGGTTCTGGCAGCTGATTAAAGAAAGATGGAAACCAAAATGAATGCAAAAAGCTCTCAAACTAGAAGGTTCTTGCATTATTATTCACTTCTATTTACTTTTGAAATAGTTATTTCAAAAGGGTAGGGATTCCTAATTGAGAAGTCTTCAGGTTTAAGTCTTGAGAATAGGCAACGTTTTCCATTTTGTTCTGTTGATGAAAATGATGTGGATTCTGTTCATGATTCTGCTGCAGAAATATGTGATTTTGTCATATTGCTTTTCCTCCATTTCTCCCCTTAAACATTTCTTCTGATGTTCTCCTGCTCTATATGGTGAGTTTATATATGGAAGAGAATCAGATGTATTGAAGGATTTGGTGGGTGCTTTTGTGTTTTTAATGATCGCTGTTAAATGCATGACAAGTCCATAGAGAATGGCTTCTGTTGCTATCACCATATGTATGCAGGTCGAATATTGCAGCATAGGAGCTCCATTTAAGTTCTGAGTTTCCAGAGAGTTGATATGTATTTTTTTTTTTCCCAAGTACAGGGATGTAGTAAAGACATCGTACAAAAACCAAAGTTGGGTGAAGGTAAAGCAGCAGTTAGCTTTTACTGGGAGGTTTGCCATTTTTATTCTGGCTCGTTGCCTTGAACTGAAATATTGTCAAATGGCTGTAAGACTATTGGGAGTATTTGGAGCTAAGCAAGCATATGTTGCCCAACCGTGTTTCAAAGGCCAGGCCTTTTTCATGGTGAAGGGCATGTTCATGTTCCAAACTATATGAAGAATTACAGTAATGCTTTCTAAGTATTGACACCCTAAAAGTTAAGGAAAACTTCTATTAACTTCAATACTTGAATATTAAATTAAATCATCATAAACATTCTCTCATATCAGAAGAGAGGTAGGGAATTTAGTGGTATACATTATTTTATTAACTTTCTGGGTTAAATTATCTTTCTCCCCTTTTCCTTCATATTTTTGATGAATTAGGGACAACGTCATAAAAATTATTCTGGACTTAAGGTTTAGATTATGTGATGGTAAATGAAATGGGAGAATGTTTTTCTTAAATATATCTACGTTCAGCATTTGTATTTTCATGGTTTTTTTCTCTCTTTTGGAATAAAGGATAAATTGTGGAGAAAAAGGATAAGGAAAAATAACATATAACAGTACTAGTGACCTTTAACATTCTCCAAAAGTTAACAGGAAGGTATCGAAAACGCTGTTGGAAGGGGGCTGAACTTTCTGAAGCAGTCTTTTGGCTTCAGATTGACTTTCAGTTAGCATATCTTATTCTTAGTGTTTCCTGATGCTAAACCACCTAGGTGTTTTTAAGAGTTTAAATTATGCTATTTAAATGCCAATTAAAAGTATACTTATAGGTGAATGCATGTTTTCTCAAATCAGTTTGTGGTGCTGTAAATACTGCATGCATGTAGTTAGCATTGCATAAGAATAGAATGTTCTATATGAAAAAAAATCACTGATACGTATTTATGCGATGTCAGCATTAAAATCTGTATTCTGTGATTGTATCTGTTATGTATTATTTGTAAGCAAAGTTGTTTCCAGGTATTCCAGGTTAATGTGTTTTGCCTGCAGGATGCTCTCCTGTCTGAAAGGGAGGAAGGCTTCGTTTGGTCATGCAGCATGAAGGTGTAGATGCATATTTTGAATATGCCTTTCATGTTGTGTTTCTTACATTGATTTTAATCTGCTATTTTCAACTCATTTAGGAGACTGACATTTTTTCCTTACCCTCAACAACACTTCCCATAAAAAAAAAGCTTTCATAAGATAATGCTTTCATAATTCACAGAATTAAGTAGCTATTGGACCACAAGCTATAGCCTTCATGACTGACAGAAAATTACCTTTTAATTTTGAAGTTTATAGGTGAATTTTATTCTTGAAAAATAACTATTTTGGACTGTTTTGAAATATATAAATAGTTTGCTATTATGTTTTATTTTGATTTGTCAGCTTTGAATTGAATTTCTCCCATAACGTGAAGGTAGGAGAATGAGGACTTTATCCTTCCTAGGGAGCTAAGCCTATACGGGCGCTGATCTGGCTGGTATGCACTGGAACAAAAGATGACAATGCAGCTTCCCATACGGCCACAAACGCTCTTTTATCATCCCTGAGAAGTAACTGTAGCTCATTCAGAAACTATTTTGTTAATGAATTAAAATATGCAGAGCATGGTTTGGGTATGCACGGTAATGCTGCCTGGTTGTTGTATGCAAGTGTTACAGATTTCACACTTCTCCAGTAATATATAGATTTCTCAAGGGCAAAACACTTTGTTTGCTCGGTGTTTGTGGTACTGTTTATTAAATGTTGTAGCATTAACTTTCTTTGGCTATAGCTTTTTAACCGCTACCCAGCATTTATTCAACTTGAATTTCACATGCTTAGTATATGAAGAGAAGAATACAAAGATAGGAAGTCAAGCAGTGAGACTAAGAATTCCTCCTGTGTGTTTTCATATAATGAGCTGAAGTCCTTAGAGTATTCAAGTGTCTATATGTTTGTAGGACTGGGACCAAAAATGCCTTCTTGTACGTAAACTTGTAAATGGAAGAAAGACAGCAGATTTATCATACTTAGCAAACAGTCCTTATCCTCAAAATTAACATGTTCATAAAGCTTGCTAATTAGTGGAGGATAGTTTAACTTTTTTAAAAAAGCTCAGATAAGAAGTGCTTACAGAAAAACTTAGCTATACATTTTCTTTCTTTCCTCATTGAAAAGCGACCAGCTGAGAATAATACATCATAAATATGACAACATTATCATGTTTAATCTTTAGGAAATAAGTCTTTTACATACAACTTTAGAAAGATTTTAGGGATATGGACAGCTCTTTAACACATAATTAAGCAGTGGAAGACAAA